GCATTTTCCTCCAGCACCATATCTCAAAGGCGTCGACCCGACTTCTATCAGCCTTCTTTAGAGTCGATGTCTCGCCGCATATAAGAAGAAAGAAAACATAAGATTTGTCATAAGCTTACGATTGGTTTGGAGATATTTCTATGGGATCAAATGCTATCAAGCTGAAACATGACATTTTTTGCTATCGGATACATCTTCGAATCTCATGCTCGCACGATCCAGTATTCACAATCATGGAGCCCAGGTAAGTAGGTATTACTGGTGGTAGGACCTCTTGTGAGTCCGCGCGGATAGGTACCACCACCCTGCCTATTTCTGCCGTGAAACAGAAATGTGTTTCGGTTTGAAGGGCGGGGCAGCCGTTGTAACTATACTGAGACCTTAGAACTTATATCTCAAGGTGGGTGGCGCATTTACGTTGTAGATGTCTATGGACTCTAGTAACCACTTAACACCAGATAGGCTGTGAGCTCGTCCACCATCTAAGTAATAAAAAAAAATTAATCTTTCCGTTGTTTCAAGATGCAGTGACCCCGTGTGCTCTGGTTTGTTCATGCGGTCTATTACCATCACTTTTGTTTTGGATCGGTTAATGGCAAAGCCAAATTCAAGGATAATTGCTTCAAGCTTGCTCATGAGAGCAGCCGTCTCGCTTTCATTAGCCACGAGAAGAGTGGTGTCGGCGGCGTATCTGAGGTTGGTCAATTTTACGCCACAAATGGTAACATGGGTTAAATTAAGACTCCCATAATTGGTATTTACGATAGACCAAATAAAAAATAACAATGATTTGCTTTTGTTGTATATAAGAGCGAAGAACTTGTTATGAGTTGCTTCGGACACATCCTGCGATCTCCCAGACATGAATTAGAGAAGCTCATAATTTTGGGTTGCATTGAGGGTAGGCGCGCCGTGGGCAGAACACTAGCCAGATGGTCAGATCTGGTTAAGAAAGCGGTTGGTGGAAGTCTATACCAGACGGTCCATGCCACCCATGACCGAACACTGTAGAGGAAAGCCACATGTGGTCGCGATCCTCAGCAGTAAGGGAACGATGAAGAAGAGAGATTTATGAATGGGTGGCCCATCTGATCGGCGCTAACAAGCATGAGAATATGAGTGTCGCGACCACATTGAGATTGGGACGGTTGTCCCACCTTTAAAAGCGAAAAAACTTGGCGTTAGAAAGAGACATGACGATGTCTGTCATTGCGGGTTCACCAGATCCCGTGTTAGGTTCTCGTTCTGGATGACAGGCGATAGGTACATTTTAGTATTAGCACGATATTTTTAGGTAATGACAATTTTTAATGACAGTTATGACAAATTTAAGTTATTTATAGCGTATTTTCCATTGCAACGACTCCCCCTCGTGTAATTTATGGAATAATAAGAACACTTGAACACACAACTGCATTGTACTTATTATTTATCACACACAAACGCGTTGATTTGACGTGTCATTGTGAAGAAGCATTACAAGGCTCCGATTGTGACTACACTTGTTTTTTTTATTTAATATTTCCATAAATTATAATAATTTTAGCGTATTTTGAAAAAAAACCCAGCTAAGAGCGCACAAAGGTACCGCGTTTAGAATTAAAAGAAAGTTGTAGATAAAAATTAAATTCCGTAGGCAGCGGCTTGGCTCTGCCCCTGGCATTGCTGAAGTCCAAGGGCGACGGTAACCACTCACCATCAGGTGGGCCGTATGCTCGTCTGCCTACAAGGGCTATAAAAAACATTACGAGTTTGATAAAAATGTTGATGTTCCATTTAATACAATTTAAATAAGTTTAGATAGCTGCTTACTATTTTGTGTTATTTGTTCCCTTCAATATATTAGAACCCATAATTTAGGACTTAGCGGTATTTAGATCCAACCACGCAGCGCCCTACCATTAAATATTTTCTTTAATGTCTAAGCAAAGGGTTTAAGCGAAGAAGAAGAAGGGTCGTCGTACCCCCTCACGGGGGCACGGAGCGGGCCTCGGGGCAAACCCCACTACCCGGGCTGAAACTCCCTACCACATAGGGCAGGGGTAAAGTAGATGCAGGGAGGATTTTGGGGAATGTACGCTGTTCACTGCGTGTTCAGCGGCAATTTACATCTATATATACTTATATATAATACGATGGGCAGTCTGGTGACGGCTCGATGCCCGCGGCGGTGACACCCCGGCGCCGGCTGCTGTCCTCTGCTTCCTAAAGCTCCTTTTTTTTTTTTTTTTTTTTTTTTTCTCCTAACTACTAACTATAACTAAACTACACTACTATTTACATAAGCCAGGACAACAGTCAGCAACCGTGGGGCCCGCCACCGGCCCCATGCCGCGGCCCCACCTCTACAAACCAGAGGAGGGGCGGCGACACTAGTTTGGCGCTCACCCGCTAAGGGCTTCCCAGAAGGGGAAGACCGTCGCGGGGAGGTACCGACATATAATCACCCAACGGTATAACCCCCCAACGGGGGTGGGAAATGGGTCCCCATAAGGGGGCACCCCAACGATGTGGGGGGAAATGACGAGTGTGGACAGTCTCAGTCCCATGGGGGCACTCATTATGAGCACTCCCATATCACTCCGATTAAGCCGACTATCTTACCATAGCCGGGGGTTCCAGTAGCTCCCTTGGTAGCGCCAGACCATCAGGTGGTCTAGCGTGCAAGGGAGCTAAATTGTGGAGATGCTCGTGGGGTCCACCGTCAGCCCGCTCGTAAAGATTACGAGCTAGCCTCCGGATGAACTCCTCGAGCGACTCCACATCCAGATCCCGGGCGATTACGGCATTACTGACGTAACGCCCTGCTCCGACTATCGTGCGAAGAGCCAGATTCTGCTGGGCCTGTAACTTCACCCGCGTGACCTGCGGGATGAGGTGATACCAGGCCGCAGCTGCGTACGTGATACGGGAACGGACATACGTCTTATAAATGCCGAGCTTAGTCCTGACCGGCAACCTGGAGGCCAACACCGGCCGGAGGAGGAATCTCGCGTAGCGAGCGGCCGCCAACGCCTTATTGGCGTGGGCGGTCATCCTCAAACTCCGGTCGATATCGACCCCCAAGTACCGGACGCTGGATCTAAACTCGACATTAGCGCCACGGAGACTGAGCTGTCCCGGGACGACTCTTGTGCGGACCGGACCGAAGAGAATAGCCGCGGTCTTCCCCACGTTGACCGCGACCCTCCATCGGTCCAGCCACTGGGGCAGTAAGTCCAATAACCTCTGCATCCTCGAAATGGCCGCAGAGGGGAAGTTGGATGACGCGAAGTAGGCGCTGTCGTCGGCAAACAGCGCCAACTTCACGTCGGCTTGTCGTTGGTATAGAGAGCGTAGAGGAATGGTGCCAGGACGCTCCCCTGCGGAACTCCGGCCGTGACTGGGCGCACCGACGATTTGGCGCCCTCGACCGCGACAAGGAAGGATCTTCCCTCCAGGTACGGGGTTTAAGCGATGTACGAATTCATAGCCTAGCCTGTTTGAGTGGTTACCGGAGAGAATAGACATTATCAACGTAAATTACTTTTGTACGTGTAGATGAGCTCTCGGGGCTCAAACCGGAGTGTTGCTAACACTGACCCTAGCAAGAGCAGTGTTTCTCAGAATCTACCACTGGATTGGAAACGCGACCCACTGAGAAGATCCGGCGAGAAACTCAGTGGGCTGTGCTAATGGGTTAATTTACTCGTCGAGCCCTTCGTCGCAAGCGATGGGTTCGACGAGGACGGTGACCGGTGCTTGCGGTACCTAAAAGCACCGTTAATGGATCGGGAGGATCCGTAATGACGCATTTAAGGCGACGTCGACTATTTACCATTCGGTCCACAGGATCGGGTATGAAATTACCGGCGGCCACGACAAGAGGGTTTTCATGTCGTGCCGTCTTCTCTAAGTGGCGCAATGATGCCGACTGTAGATACTTACTGACTGAGTCAAGCTCCAGGTCATCATGGAGATCCACGTTCCTTAGGAACGCCACCCATTTTGGGATATGAGTTCTATAATACAATGGCTACCTCAAAGCTGCTTGGATGGCTGCTTAAAAGCGAAACGCATTGCTTCGCGGTAGAAATAGGGAGGGTGGTGGTACCTACCCGTATGTGCTCACAAGACGTCCTACCTAATCAGACTCATAAAGAAAAAAAGTGATATATAGTGATATATAGAACGGACAACAAGAAAATATCTATTCGTATGTATAGAGTTTTATGCAATGAAAATAACAAATAAAAATGATACATTCATTATGATTCTATTGTTGAACTGCATAATAAATTATATGACATGCATTTCGACAGATATCATATTTTCTAAGGCACACCCGTTTTGTGCTAAAGGTAAACACAATCCAACTATTTATTCAAGAAGTATATAAAATACAAAAAACTTATAGTTTTGCCATTAGTTTCGAAAAAAATATCGGCGAATATGAAGTCAAAATGGGTAAATATTAATTTNATGGCTCCGCAACAATCGCGATGTCGATGAACCACTCTGCCATGGTGTGGACGAGGAGATCCTGCGCCCTGGCGGAACTCCATACAAATCTGAGCTAACTTTTACGCTATCGACAACGTTAAAAAACTCTCACTAAGCACAAAGATTGCAAGTAAATCACCAGTCCACGTTAAGCCGTCCCAAAATACGATTTTTACGCAGTTGACGCCCGAAATACATGAAAAAATATAAAAAAGTCTTACCAACAAAAACAGCATGATTTTTTAATGAAATTTTAAAGCAACTATGAAAATAAGTTATCAAAATTTCCATATTTATAGATGAGTATTGACCTACATTATGTATTTAGACAAAAGATTTAGAAAAAAGTGATATATAGTGATATATAGAACGGACAACAAGAAAATATTTATTCGTATGTACAGAGTTTTATGCAATGAAAATAACAAATAAAAATGATACATTCATTATAATTCTATTGTTGAACTGCATAATAAATTATATTAAATGCATTTCGACATATATCATATTTTCTAAGGCACACCCGTTTTGTGCTAAAGGTAAACACAATCCAACTATTTATTCAAGAAGTATATAAAATACAGAAAACTTATAGTTTTGCCATTAGTTTCGAAAAAAATATCGGCGAATATGAAGTTAAAATGGGTAAATATTAATTTATAACCTGTATTAATTAGATAAATTTAATTAGCTGTATGATTGTGTCCAATATCTTTTTGTTTTATTTATTTATTTATTACACCTCATGTAAAATTTACATTGGGGGACTTAATGCCTAAGGCGCTTTCTGCCAGTCAACCAAAGGCAGTGCAAAGTAAATAATAGTATCTTTTAAGGTTTTTTCAGTCGCTATTATTGTCAATGATCCTAATGTACCGCGGAATTTGAGGTCGATTCGCGTTTGAACTCCCTTTTAATTAAGTTATTTGCCACTTGAAGCGTAGCTCTGGTTATTTACGTCTTGACAATATTTGTTGCCAACACAAGTTAGTTTCCTAAGGCTATCCTAGCATTGATCTGGACGTATACTATTATATAATTTTCTGGAGGTGTTAAATTTAATCTAGAAATCTTTGTAACGACTTAAAATTACTTCAATTAAAATAATTCACAGCTTTTGTTTTTCAACTTTGAGATCCACCAACTATATAGAACGAACTATACAGGGCGTCTCCAAAGGATACAGCGAGCCAAAAACATGGTGCTCTATTAAAATAATCGACTCGACGAATTAAGAAATGTTCTTAACCAGTTTAGAATTATATCCTCTTCTGCAAGCCCTTGAATTATGTTTTAGGTAATGTAGTAAAAAATTAGACTGGCCACTCTCTTCAACTCGCAACGCATTACTGCTTCACGGCAGAAATAGGCAGGGCGGTGGTAGGTACCTACTCGTGCGGACTCACAAGAGGTCCTACCGCCATTCGGTATCACCACGAATTAGTAAATGTATTAATAGTGGTCGTGCGAATAGTTATAGTCCCCGTGCTATTGCTATTTAATACGTTTTTATTAACTTCAGACGTATGCTTAGTATGTAACGGAATCTTTGAACATGATTTTGAATCCCTTCAAAACGTCGGATTAACTCGAAATTTGGCATACTTATTTAAGGACCGATAACAATTCAATGTTTTAAGCAGTTTGATCCGTTATCCTTACTAGGATAATCAGCAATAGTGACTTTTTGTATTGCTGATACCCAAAGTGTATGCGTTAAGACCAAGAAGGGAAACTACCAGGCGCGCCGATCACCTATTTCTCGGATAAGCTACCGACTGATTCAGATGAAATTTTATAAAAATAATAAAAAAAAGAATCGAAAAAATTAAAATTAAACTAAAAAATGAAAAATAAGTAATAGTTAAAAAAAAAAAAAAAAAAACGCTCTTATAGAAAATACAACTAAAAAATTGAAAATAAATTTTAATAAATTTGAATTAAAAATACTGTAAGAAAACATTGAATTTTATTGTTGTCACCGCTCCACATGGACAGTGACAGGGGCAAAGCGAGAAGCCGATTGTAATAGGTAGCCCGTAAATACATATAGCATTGCCGTTAAACTCTGTTTTATTTCCAGTTGTTGCTGTTGGTCGTGGTGGCCGTGACGTATGTCGAAGCTGCTCCTGCTCCTTCGATACTTAACCCAGTCCTAAATACATTAGGCCTTGGTAGTGGTGGTTGTAGTGGTTGTGGTGGCGGCAACGGTGGGGGTGGAGATGGAGATAATGGGAACGGTGACGAAGGGGAAGGGGGAGACGATAGAGGCACTGGAGTAGACAACCCTGGTGATGATGGTGATGACGGTGGAGATGATGGTGGAGACGAAGGAGAAGGAGGAGACGGCGGCGACGATGGAGGAGATGATGGCGGAGACGAAGGAGATGGAGGAGATGGTGGTGACGAAGGAGAAGGCGGAGATGGTGGAGATAATGGAGAAGGCGGGGATGATGGTGGTGAAGGCGGGGATGATGGTGGTGAAGGGGGAGATGGAGGAGACGGAGGAAATGATGGTGGAGACGGCGGAGATGACGGAGGTGACGGAAGAGATAGTGGAGCAAATGGGGGAGATGGAAATTGCAGCAACTGCCAAAAAGGCAGCCCAGCTGCAGCCGCAGCAGCGGCAGCTGGCGGCGGTGCGGCCGCAGCAGCTGCCGGCCGTAGTGCGGCAGCCGCGGCGGCAGGCGGTGCTTAGCACTGAACCAAGTTTGATTTTTTAAGTGATAAAATCTAAAAAAATACAGTACACCATTTTGCTTATTTCATTAAATTATATACGTCGATGTTGCACGAACAAATCTAGTTTAAATTTAGCACAATGTCATTTAATTTTTCCCTATGCTTTTATATTTGATTAAACAAAGCCATTTGAACGGTATACACTTGTAATGTTAACTACCCGTGTTTTTGTTTTAATTCTGTATTTTACTTTCCAATAAAAAAATGTGTTGCTGTGATTTGTGGATCATTTAATACAAGAGAATAAAAGAGTAAAGAACTAGAGTAGACATTTGTTTGTCATCACTTATTCGGGTCATCTAAAACCGTTACTCATGTTGCACTGGTTTTTCATTTTAAAAAGTTTGGCTGCTCCCTGAGTCGCTGTCTGAAACGGACGAATCTTGGCTTTACGCATCCTAAGCTGAAGAGTCTTGTTAGTCTATATTTTGTCTGTTGTCTTCATCATATCCGGTTGCTTTAGATCGATTCGTAGCAGAGTTTGTCGTCTAACGCATGGTACTTTCCTCAAAACTCTCTTCAAAATTGATCTCATCATTATCACTATCATAACTATATCTTTCATCGTCCATTGCGTTCGAACGTTCTCGGCCTTTGTTTGTTAGTTCTTCTTTCAAGATTCAGGGAGCCTTCGTCTGTGTTGATTGACGAAGAGGCGGATTCTACCCCAACTACATTTACTAGGAGACAGAATATCTGCGGAGAAAAATCACGTTTGATTTGTTAAGTGTGCTTAGTGCGAGTATTTTAATACGCTTATAATAGCTGCATACGTATATTAGTATGTAACGGAATCTTTGAACATGATTTTGACCCCCTTCAAAACGTCGGATTAACTCGAAATTTGGCATAGGTATAAATGACCAATGACAATTCAATCTTTTAAACAGTTTGATCCGTTATCCTACTAAGATAATCAGGATTAGCGATTTTTTGTTTTCTTTAGACCCGAAGTGACTGCGTCAAGATCAAGAAGGGAAACTACCAGGCTATATAATATACTATATTTCTTCTACTAGCTATATCGAGTATATATTCTAAAAGCAGCCAATATATACTTAAACTCACTTTAGTTGAAATAGCTGTAATGAAAAACACATAATAGTTTGAAAAAAAAAAAACAAAAAAAAACGCTTTTATAGAAAATTCAACTTTTACACTATTATTTGTTAACGTTCTTGATAGCGTAAAAGTTAACTCAACAGTCAACAGTTAGAACAGCGCCCCTAACGGCAAACGCAAAAGCTCCAACTCCATACAAATCTTTTTTTTTTTTTTTTTTCGGGCCGGGGGCCGAACCTCCTACGAGGTCCCCGCGCCTAGGGGGCGCGCGGGGTATGTGAGACTCAACGATCTGCAGGTGTTGAGAGCAGATCGCGGGCCCAAGGATTTTAGGGCCCACCCACTAAACGACTCCCCTGCACTCTTACACCCGACGTCCGATCTCCGTCCGGGGTCAGAACCCGTTCAGAGTAGGGGGGTTCCCGCGGTCAACACTACAACCAGACACGCGGCGCCACCCGGAGGACGCCCGACCGACGGGTCATCGAGGCGATAGTCGACGACCAACGACGTCGGTCTCCGCAGTACGGCGGCCCTACCAGGCCACCCGGGCGGTGCCGCTGGTGTTCCGGGATACCCCGCTGGGCCAGAACCAGCCTGCCGGGTCGGAACGCGATACACCGCCGACCGGGTTGCTCTTCAACAGTATGTTCGGCGACGACAGCGACGACGAAAATGCGGACCGCATCGCAGTCCGCAGCCGCCGACGCGCCGTCCCGTCCTCCTGGTGCCAGCGCGCTAGAGTGACGGTAGCGTGCCCATGGAAGGGGGCTCAAAGCCCCTCTCCATCCGCGGGAACAGCCCGGAGACAATCTCCCGCAGCTGCTGAGGCTGGAGACGCTCCGTCACCGGAAGCGCCCACGGCCCCAATTTCCCAACCCCCTTAGGTCGCCCCGTGACCATCACCGGGAGGAGACTGCCTCCTCATAGGGGCTGGAGCTGGACAAACGCCTTCCTCCGACCCCCGGCCCGACGGCGGCGGCACGGCGCCGAGAGGGAAGAAGAGCTCTCCCTCTCCCGTTCCGCCGCCTCCTTCTGCGAGATGGTGGACTCGCAGAAGTCGAGCATCGCCTGCCAG